TCTCCAGGGACTGGTCCCTCCTGATAATCTGTCTTAAATATGAGAGATGAAATCACACCAACCTAGTTTCTAAGGAGCATTATGACTGTTATTGTACCAACACAGTTTTGTTTGTTTTCTGGCAATTCATAGTATTTTCAATATTCTTCTGTGACACCATAACTGAACTGCATCAATTCCTCTACACCCTTCTTGTTCACTGTCCAACTTTCACATGCATATGAAGTATTTGAAAATACTATGGTTTGGGTCAGGAGCACCTAGTCCTCAAACTGACATTTTTGTACTGGAACATTTTAATAAAGAGGTGAAGTAGATTTGCTTAATGCAATATGTCATTACTTTCTTGTCTACTGCTTCCATGAATACTGATGGTTTATCTGAGAAAAATGTCTTTGACAACTTCAATCCTTTCTCCATTTATCATGATATCATTTATTGTTCCAGAGGTAAGGGTTTTTGTTTTCTTTTCATTGAGATGCAACCCATACTGAAAACTGTGGTCCTTGATCTTCATCAGCATTTTAAGTTCTCTTCACTGTCAGCAAGAAAGGTTGTACCACTTGCATATTACAGGTTGTTAATAAGTCTTCCTCTGATCTTGATGTTACATTCTTATTCATATAATTAAGCTTCTTGGATAATTTGCTTAGAATACAGAATGAATATGAGTAGTGAAAAAATACAATCCTGGCTCACACCTTTCCTAATTTTAAACCATTCAGTGTCCACTTGTTCTGTTCGAACGGCTGCCTCTTGGTCTATGTACAGGTTTCTCATAAGCACAATTAAGTGTGCTAGAATACTCATTCTCCACAATGTTGTCCATAGCTTGAAATGATCCACACAGTTGAAAGTATTTGAATAGTCAATAAAACACAGGTAAATGTCTGGTATTTGCTCCTTTCAGTCAAGATCCATCTAATGTCAGCAATGATATCCTCAGTCCAAGTCATCTGAACCTGGCTTGAACCTTTGTTAGTTCTCTGTCATCATTTAGTTGTAGTCATCATTTGATGACTTTAGTAAAATTTTACATGCATGTACTAGTAATAATATTGTCTGATGATTTCTGCATTCTGTTGGGTTACCTCTCTTTGAAATGGGCAAAAATATAGATCTCTTCCAATCAGTTGGTCAGGTAGCTGCCTTACAAATTTCTTGGCATAAATAAATTTAAAAAAACAAATGCCTTTAGTGCTGCATCAGTTTCTTGAAAGATTTCAATTTGTATTGCAACAACTTTCAGAGTCTTGTTCTTTGTCCATGCTTTCAGTGCACCTTGGACTTCTTCCTTCAGTGTCATTGGCTCTTGGGTATATACTGTTGTTATTGGTTTTAGTGCCTTCAAGTCAGTTCTGACTCATAGAGATTCTGTATAGAGTTACCAAGGAGCAGCTGGTGAGCTTGAACCGCCAACCTTGAGGTTCAAACTGACTTTGTGGTCCAGCACATTTATACACAACGGCACTCAAAAATATGTGTTTAATAAATCTGAGTGTGTTGCTTTCATTTGGTAACTTTTCGTTCTTTCTCTCTCTCTTTCCAATCTCCCTCTCATTTTTGCACCAAATAATAACAAAAACAAAATAATATCTAAGAGTATATACTTCCATGCTGAAATTGAAGTATCTGAATGCTATTTTCTATGATACACACGATCTATAAATTTGCAAAATCTTACAAAAAGTGAGTATGCTAACAAAGTCCTAATGCTAAGACATAATTATCCAGCCTTCATGTTAATATCTACTTTTTACAAAGTTCTGAATCACGAAGAATTTCACAACATTTAACTTCCTTTTTTATTTGTGAGGGTTAGGAAAAAGGAAGGAATTTGCTATAGCTGTCTGGTATTTTACTTATGCATATATAGAGACCACAACAAGAATCCTAGTAATGAAGGATTTTCCAAGAAAACAAGTGGCTTATGAAGGCCTCCAGTCTTGAATTCACCTAAAAGTTCCATGTACCACGATGATCAGTGTTAATATCATTTTATGACACTGAAATAGGTTAAGTATTATAGAAATGTATTACACATATTAATAAGTTGAATATATTAAATGAATTTATATTTAAACATTCCTGGGAATGGACATTCCATTACCAGTGTATACCAATATTTATTTCATCATAATTGTGCCACCAAGAAGAACTATTTTTTTTTAATCACTTCCTTGCAAAAACCTAGGATATTTACTTAGATTTATCCCTCTGAGCAGATTTTTAAAAAAATCTATAGATTCATTTTAAAACCAAACATAATATTAAAATGTTTGAACAATTTTCCAAATTTAGCAAAACCAGTTTAGAGGTATTTTCTAGTAAAATGTGCTTAGATGTGTAAATTAACTCACAGGGCAGTTCAAACTCTTCTTAATGTCAACTCATTTTTTCCAAAAAAATAAATTAAAAGTATATTTTAAAACCAATTATTTGTGCATTCCATTTATTCCATCTTTATGCCAGTCATCAGCTTGGTTAATTTAATGTTTCTGTGTAAATATTTTTTTACATAGCTGCACAAAATTGAACTATAACAGACTAATACTAAAATTTAAAAACAAAATATTTTCTAGAATAAGTGAATGCTATAAGATCTCAGCTCTTTTTAAAATGACAGTTTGGATATCTGATTCATGGTATGTTCTACTTTAGTCCTTTTCAGGCAGTCATACAAGTGAGTCATTCAAGATGACTTGCAAATATCCCTAGTGTACCTCATAAATATATTAGAATATGTCTAGGAAATTTGGATTGGATTTCTGCTTTCTTACTGCTTGTCAACATTGTGATACTCTATAAAGTACAATATAAAATTATTCAATTCACAAATATTTCATAGACTATAAAATCAGAATTGAAGCAATAATAACCCCATTATATATGATGTTTTGTTACTATCTATATTAAACAAATGGAATCTTCCATTTTAAGATGTTCTATTTAGCGTAGTGGTTACGAATCGGGCTGCGAACCT